CGCTTGACTCAATTATCTCTATCTTCAATCTATCTACCCATCTCTGCAATTCTATCTTTTTTTCGCTGGCTTTATTTGCCGGGCTTATATACTAAAAAAAAAGGCGCCTGGAACAAACTAGAGTTGCCAGGAAAATTCATGATCCTTCTAGAAACTCCAGGGTCGCGTGACTTCCGCTGTCGTAATAATACTTTAGTGTTCTTTTATTTATTTATAAGTCCTTTATACATGCTAATGTTGTTTCACATATTTTTCAGTCTTTTATACATGCTAGTGTTCTTTTATATATTTATCAATCTCTTATACAGGCTAGTGCTTTTTCATATATTTTCAATCTTTTAAACATTGTAATGTTTTTTTAAATATGCTTGAATCTTCTTTTATACATGCTAGTGTCCTTTTAACTGTGTTTAATTTTTCTTTTATACACAGTTTACTATTTTTCTATGTTTTTTATATATGTTAGTTGTCTGTTAGATACGCTTCACTCTTCTTTTATGCATGGTAGTGTTCTTTTAAATAAGTTTCAGTCTTATTTTATGCAGGTTTGAGTATTTTGTATATGTTATAGGGTTTTTATACATCCTAATATTTTTCTAAATATGTTTTAATTTGTTATATGTTTTATAATATTTATATATGATTGTGTTCTTTTAAATGTGCTTCAGTTTTCTTTTATATATTTTTCTGTATTTTATACGTTTAATGTTGTTTGAAACGTGTTTGAATGTTCTTTAAACACGTTTCAGTATTTTTATATAGCTTTCATTTTTATACAAGTTAGTGTTTTTTTAAATATGCTTCAATCTTCTTTGGTATAAGCTAGATTTCTTTGATATATTTTTCGGTATTTTATACATGCTAGTGTTCTTTCATATATGTTTCGTTTGTTTTATCCATACTAGTGTTATTTTATATTTTTTCGTGTGTTATATATACTAGAGTTCTTCTAAGTATTCTTTAATCTTCGTTTATATACCCTTATGTACTTATATATACTTTTTCAATCTTTTATGTAAGCTAGTGTTCTGTTAAAAATTTTCCAGTCTTCTTTTGTATATTTTCAGTCTTTTGTTATATGCTGATGTTCTTTTTTTTTTACATTTTTAGTCTTATATACACGATAATGTTTTTTTTAATATGCTTGAATCTTCTTTTATACATGCTAGTGTTATATGTTTTTCATTCTTTTATATATATGCTAGTCTTCTTTTATGTGCTATTGTTATTTTAAGCATGTTCCACTCTTCTTTTATATCTTGTTTGGTCTTTTATATATGCTTACATATATATATATTTCAGTCTTCTTTTATACATATTTTTCAGTGTTGTTTAATATATGCTAGTTTTCTTTTAAATATTTCTCTGATTTCTTTTAAGTATGTTTAATGTTCTTTTATACACGTTTCAGTGTTTTTATATGTTTCAGTATATATGCTAGTGTTCGTTTATATATTTTCAGTCTTCTTTTGTATATGTTAGTGTTCTTTTATATATTTTTCTGTCTTTTATATATGCTACTGTTCTTTATATATTTTTTAGCCTTTCATAGATGTCACTCTTTTTTATATATATCCTAGTGTTGTTTTAAATATTTCTGTCTTTTTTAAATACGCTAGTGTTCTTTTATATATTTTTTTCAGTCTTTAATACATGGTACTGTTACAACAGCGGAAGTCACGCGACGCTGCGAGCATGCGCGCCGGAGTTTCTAGAAAGATCACGAGTTATTGGGAACCTCGCGAATGTCCCAGTGTCTGCTAGACGCCCTCTTTTTTAGTATATAAGCTAGCAATAGATAGATTTGCAGATAACTGAGTCAAGCGAGCGGTAGTGACTGTAAGTAAAGTGCGCGAATCGTTGTGAATTGTAAAGTGTGTTTAAGTTAAAGTGACTGTGGAAATTAAGTGTATTACAAAGTTTGTAACAAGAAAGAATAAACTTGTTTTAATCAAGAAGGGACTTGTATCACTGAAGTCACTCGGAAAGAATTTTTACCGGAAATTATCAAACAAGCAGATAGTAACAGTACTATTCTTTTATTTTCACTTTTTTACATATGCTAGTTGTTTTTTATAGGTGCTAATGTTCTTTAAACACGTTTCGATATTTTCATATATCTTTCAGTCTTTTATATATGTTATTGTTCTTTTCAGTATGTTTCAATCTTCTTTTACATATGCTAATGTTTTTTTATATTTTTTTCAGTATTTCATACACGCTACTGTTCTTTTAACTAAGTTTCAGTTTTCTTTTATTGGATGATTTTATGTGTTACGTATGTACTGACTTCTTATTAACATTACAAAAGTAGCTATGGGATAGATATGTGAAAAATTATTACACAAGTAAAACTGATTTTATTTATTTAAATGTTGAATAGAATAGGGTTCATGATTTAGTATATTATCACACCTAATTAAGACAATGTATAAATACAATACATGTCAATGGATATAAAAGTGACCGGAAATTGATAAATATATATATATATAAATATATATATATAGCAGAGTATACATAATGATCCAGATTGACACATTTGTTATGAAATAAATACACCAATTTGCAAAACAATTTAATTTGATCTTTCCTCAGTTACGTTGAACAAACTAGTAAATTCCTATCATTATTACAAATGACGTGCGAAAAATGTCTTTTGTATTGAAGGGTATCTTAAAATTTCCATTTTGCAAGGCAATGAAATGTGTGTGTGACACATTTAGACATGTTATGCAATATTGATGTGTATGGTTTTGATTGAAATATCGAAATTTTGTTTACGTTTTCTCAAAGCTTCCATGAAGGAGGTAAATTCCACCTTTTTTAACCCATATCTCAACTTAATTAAGTTGGTATTTTACCAATCCAGAATATTTCTTTGACGAATAATTTGATATTTATTTTCACGATCATAACGGTGTTAAAGTTTCAATTTCATTTCTTTTACTATTTGACATTAACAAAAATCATTAAATGGATACATTTTCATTCAATAAATATTTTGTTTTGATTTAAGCCAACGTAAATCAAACCACTCCCTTTTTCTATAATTTGGTCATAATTCTACAAGAAATAAAAACAATTCGTTTCTTAGTAGTAAATGTCTTTATAAATCACAGAGAAAAACTGAGTAAGCAATCAGAGATATGTCGATACTATAGCGTACGGTCTACAAAGACATTTACACTATAGGGTACAGTATACACAGATACTATCATCATCACCGTTTTAACTTTCGTTTATTTGCAATTGGCGCCATCTATTATAAGCAACGCTTTTAAGAAGGCTCAGAAGACACCAAGGAAATGTGGAATAAGGTGGAAAGAATTATACTCGACAGTGCTATAGAAATACTAGAACGGTCAAAAGGAAGTATACCTACTGATAAGGAAACATGGTGGTGGAGCAAAAATATCCCAAATGTTATGAAGAAAAAGTTTATTAAAAACGTGAAGAAAGCCGTTACTATGGGAAAAGACTCTAATGAAAGAGAAGGACAAAAGATAATCTACAAGTTAGAGAAAGCTAGAGATCGGGTGACAAAGGACATTACCAAAACGAAAATCATTAAGGACGTAAATGAAGAACCAATATGTGATGAAGAGTGGTTTTAAAAGAGATGAGATGAACACTTCAACCAATTGCTTAACAAAGAAAATCTAATGTAGCCATGTCCTCATGGATAGATCAAATTTCTTGGTAGGTATTTCGATTTAATATCACACGGGGTTTACGAAAAACTTCAGGAGACAACCTGGTACACTGAGAAATAGATGTTCCTCATTTTACCCCACAAGTAGTAATAGATTAGAGTTGTACTTGGAAGTTTGTGATTAAGGTAGTAGTGAAAAGATGTTGAATTTGGCTAGTGAATGTGTTGAGCCAGAAGAAGGTCGGAGAAGTTTGATGCTGCTTGGTGAATGGGATACTTATGGAAAATGGAATTTTCCTTGAGACAAAGACAAACAAACAGCTCCTGTCAGACATATGGTCCTTCAGAGAGGAAGGGATCTATAAATCCTATGCCTAGAGAATTTGATGTGGGGTGAAACGGGAGAACCCCAAGAAAATCCACTTTCACTAGTCATGCACCAAATATTCTACCTGACCAAGCCCAATGAAACCAAAAATAATTAACGCAACAGATGGTTAAGACTGAAGAAAGGAGTGATAGGCATAAAAGGAATAAATCAACTATGCCTGACTAAAGCCATAGGGTCTTCTTGAAAAGGGAATGACTGAATGGTCGTTGCTGACTGAAGGGGACCTGTTATTTCGGCCATCATCATTGCTGTGGCTAAGGGTGTCAGACACAAAAGTTTGGAATTAATAAAGCAAGCTGTTATCAGGGAAAAGGCTCAAATGAAAAAGGATATACATGACAAACTAAAAACCAGAGAAGGACAGAAAATAATCTACAAGTTAGTGTTCGAATGAAAAACATTAAGTTCATAAATAAATAACCAAAACCTGATGAAGATCAGTTAAAAGAGGTGGTGTGAATACTTCAATAAAGAATATCTAAGGCAGCCATGTGCTCATGGACACAAAAGTTTGGGATTTATACGACAACACTCTGAAAGTAAACAAAGAACTAGAAAAAATGAAAACAGGATAGGTAATTTGTCTAAACAAAATCCCAATTGAGACATTGGGTCATGAAGGAGTGAAATGGCTGATATGTTTATTTAACGTTATAACTATAGCTATTTACAAAAAAAAAAAAGTGACATCCAAACGTGGGAATTATCAAGGAAGAAAACCGATGTTTCACACAATGAAGATATGGAAATGGTTAACAGAATAAAGAACCAGTCAAGAAAGCTCAATCTCAACAAATCAATTTGGATTTATACTGGGATGCTCAACAATGGATGCAAAAATAGCCTTGAGGATTCTCATTGAGAAAGTGATCTGGAGTAGTTTGAGGATGAATTTTAGAAAAGTTTATCATTCATCATTGACATGTATAAAGATTGTCAAGTGTATATATGAACACTTGTATACGAGTAAAATGACTTTCCAATAGCAGTGGGACCACACCAAGGAAGCACTTTGAGTACCTATTTATTCACTGTCGTGCTCATACATGGATGGAAAAGATTGAAGGTCACGTATCATGGACCATGATGTAGGTGAAATGATGTAATTATATGTAATGAAAGCCAAAGCAAACTAGAAGAGAAGGTATGCTGATAGAAGGTACATTTAGAGAAGAGTTTTGAGGTATAGCAAAAACCGAATATATGGAATGTAGCTTTAGTCATGATGCACAAAATGACAGAACCACTAACATTCTTGGAGAACCTATAGTACAATCACAAAAATTTAGATATCTAGGATCGATAATTCAGAGTGATGGAAAGATTGAGGAAGATATTGAAGCTAGGATAACAAAAAAATGGATAAAATAGCGCGATGTATCTAGAGTCATATACAACCAAAAAGTGTCTGTGAAATGGAAAGGCATAAAAACAATAGTCCAACTAGTAGGTGCGCGTTCAAGACAAATGCGGAAAAAAACATGCAAACTTTACCTATGACGGAGATGAAAATATTGCAGTCAATGTACAGAATGCATACATACAAAAAATTGTAGGTGTGACAGCCATAGCAGAAAATATACAAGAAAGCCACCTTGGACAGTATAGGCACATCATACAAAGACCAAGGATCATGTTGGAGACATAATCAGCATGATGGTCTGACACCATTAGAGGGCAAGGAAATGTGTGTGCTACTGAAGAGGAAGATATCATAATGGATCATAACTGGAAGCAAAGGACTTGTAAAGCAAGCCCCACAATCAAATGGGATAAATAATGGTAATCACCATTCATGAATGACTTTGTGTAATTTTCCTACACATGTGGGGGTCCACACGAATATTTATGTAGACATATATATTGTCATATACATTTACCTTCATTATATGTTGCCACATACACTAATAGCTTTTAAACAGACTGCCTCTGGCTTCACACTCAACTCACGTCATAACTGTTTCAACTTGGCTGAGTTAGGTGCTGCCATCCACAAACTAAATTCGAGTATTTTGCTTTTCAAGTTCACACAGAATGAACTTGACTGAACTAAAACATTTAAGCTAAAATTCTCATGTCATAATTAAATTTTTCGTGCTACCATTACAATATATTTCAATAAACATTCAAATACAGACAGAACTCTGTCTTGCATATAAGGGAGTTCTTCCAGCCTCACAAATAGCAATATTTTCTGCAGTATCTGTTACTCTGCTAGATCAGGTGAGTGATTCTTACAAAACAATAGATGTATTGCCTCGGAAAAAAACCTCTCCATAGCTCAGAAAGCAAGGGTCACAAAGCTCTTTGTACTTTTTTTTTTGGAAAAACTATCCTCTTCAGTCATGCAATTTGTTGATGCATCAGGCATTATATCAACTGGAACCAGTGGTCTTGTGTTAATTAGTAGTTATAAAATGTAATCCATACCTTACTACTGAATAGCTCAGACAGCACAGAAAACTACTTTCTTTCAGTTACCAATTGCTCGAATTAATGACTATCTTAATCATACACGGTATTTCGTGTTATTACTCAGGATTCTGTAGGCAAGGGCAGCAATGCATTTTCAATCAGTGATCTTTAAACTAAGTGAATGTCCTAGCTATTATACAAGTGGTGACTGAACAATGTAACACATACATGATGCATCATGTCACTACTCACAAGCTTGGAAATCAAAGGTGACAATGCCTTTTCAGTCATTAACCTTTCGACTACCTGACCATCCTAGTTATTGGTAATCAAGTTTATCGATCAGTAGGCTGTTGGCTGTGACTAGATAAGCTGTAGTGTTTGTTTGTTAGTTATTAAGCACAAAGCTACACAATGAGCTATCTGTGCTCTGCCCACCATGAGTATCGAAACCCGGTTTCTAACATTGTAAGTCTGCTACATACCGCTGTGCCACTGGGGGGCAGTAAGCTGTACATTACCTTTAAAGCTAGCACAAGCTTTCTCATCTGGCTTGCTGTAAACAGCCAGACAAGGACGCTCAACTATTACCCCCTTATACAAATGATTGATTGAGTCAAAACGATGTGTGTCCCTGTTTGCCAGACTAAGGACTCAGTCATATTGCAAGATACATGACTTTATACCTTTATCTTATTACCTTCCTGGATTCAGTTTCGTTTGTATGCCTTGTGCTTTTTCAATTAAGTTTGAAGACAACTTGTATTTCGTCTGTTTGACTGGTGCTATCACATTACAATTTATTCTCTGAATACATACTTGAGACATTAAGCTCTAGGATTACATACACAATCCTTAAGAGACACCACTATCGATTTCCTGAAACAAGGTAACTGTAAGCAGTTTTCCACAGGGAATAATTTTGAAAATGACAAAGAAGCAAAGGTAACTTGAAACAAATTGTTTTCTTTTTTACCACATGTTATATGAAACCTGCACACACTCAGAACACAAGAGTAAATTCAGAATGAGTATTAATACTAAGAAAGAAACCCATGGTACATTCCTCATACCACAGTACCACCTGAGACTTAAGTAACTGCCTTCTAATTTACAAAGTCTTATGATTTAAGTTCAACTTATTCACAACAAGATAAATTAAAAATTGGAAACCTAAAAACCTGCAAATAGGGATCATAAAAATTAAGGAAACAAGGCTGGAGATACTGTAGACAAAATTTACTCAAACTACAAACCCCTATTTTGGCTCCATGCTGTTACCTAGAATTACATTTGGTGGAGTCAAAATAGGGATTTGTAATTTGAGCAAATAACGTCTACAGTACTCCAGCCTTGTTTCCTTATTTTATTTTTTTCGATCCTTATTTGCAGGTTTTTAAATTCCCAATTTTTTATTTATCTTGTTCCCTGGCTTTTTTATGCTCATCTATGGGCAAATGATTACTTGATGTGGTAGCTAACTTTATAGTTTGTAATGGTAACAAACACAGCTAGTAGCTAGATGATATGGTTTTTAGTTTTACATAATATAGGGGATAGTTCCCTAAAGACACCAATTGTATAGACGTTATGCAGTCATGTGACTCAAAGCAGAACTAGTTTTACCATCTTCCATTTCAGACATAAACATGATGACTTTTTCCACTGCAATGTTACATTGTGTACAGGAAAACTTTGTGTTTAGTGCTTTGATTGGTGATTTATGGCACAAAGCAACTAGGATATCTGCACTTAGAAAAAGGATTCAGATGAACTGTCTAAACATCAGTACAAGGTAAAATGTCAGCAATTTGGAATGGCTATGATGGACCTCTACTCTATTCCCCTGGCAATGACCACAAGTTTAGCTCCCACTTCATTAGTCATGTTGACAAACTAAGACAGTTATGGGCATTTCCAACATGGAATACCTAGAGTTTTTTCAGTTATCTAGTTTATAATTTTAGTGCATCATATTGAAGGCATACAAAGTTTAAATGCCTATAAATACTTTGTGACAGGCTGGTTGCACAGTGTCAGACTGTGAAAAGTGTACAACTCATCAGTTTTTGTAATCTACTTGAAGGTAAAAAAACTTTTAAACTAGATGAGTTCTAATTCATCGCCTATATTTCCTTAGCAATATTTCTTATGCA